TTTAATTGTTGGATCTAAAGAAAAAGAATGAGAAGAAGATGATGGTTGTGGGATTTTCAGATCTGTAAAATAAAAAATTGCTTTGATTTTAATAAGATTAATGGCGATAATATAGCGGCGGTAGGTTGATGGTGTGTGGTGGTCTGGTGGATGAGATAATCACAAAGAAAGAGGGAAGAAGATGAACAGTGTTTTAAAAATAATTTTTTGGTAAAAAAAAAACCTTTCAGCGCTGACTTTGAGTGTATTACACTCACAATGCCATGTCAGCGAAAAGTGTCAAAATGACACAACGAGATCCAACATAAGGGGTTTAAAATGAACATAGCCTAGTTGAGGTGTCTAAGTGAAACTTCGTGCCAACTTTAGGGGACACCAATGGGTTAGGCCAACAAAATATATATGCCCCATATAGACGTGTCACTCATGTGGTGCTTTTATATATAAATTATTAATTATATATAGTATATACTATGAGAATATATGTTCATCAAACTAACAATTTTTAGCTTTCTTTCGGATTTGACTCGAATTGTTCGATAGATTTTCAAGCACTATGCATCCGTGTTTTAATTTAAGGTATGTTTTTATTTTTTTAAGTGGAGTTCTATTTTGATGCATATTGAAGAATTTTTTTTACCTATGTTAATTAACTGTGATTGTTTTTAGAAATCACCTCTCCAATAAAAAAATAAAAAATAAAGAACCCTTGGATGACCCACAAATGAGTATGAAGTATTAACTTGTGAAACTCAGTACCATGAATTAGAGAAGTGGCTAAAGATCAATAGTAACATAAAGGTTATCGATGGAATTTTATTTTTTTTGTTATCAAAAAAATCCTTCCTACTTCATAAACTCTTCTTTTAGACGAATTGCAAGGTGTGAAACGACTTCATACTAAACAATACAAATTTTATCTTTTATAACAAAAGTGAATGTCACTGATAAATAAGTACGTAATTCATGTGGTCCCAAGCAAACGCGTATACTTGTTTCATACTTTGATATTCTGGATGTATTAATTATTGTTGTAATTATGTTCATAAATCAAGTCAAGATGTAGTGCCATTTTTATTGACTTTTGCTTGCTTCCCCATTTTTTGTTTAAATTTTGAGACAATTAATAGACACCCATGAAAAAAGCATTTAAGTTGCTTTAGAAAATATTCCAATTAATTGTTGAACATATTGACCAACATGTGAAAGACTTGAAGACTATGTGTTAGACGTCATATACGCATCTTGTTTAATTTTATAATTTATTTGCTACTTGTAATGATGAGTATAGGTATTAGTTAGAGTAAAAAAAGACAGATATTTTAGATGAAATAGAGAAATTTGGAGTAAAAAAAAAAAGATGAAGCTTATCATAACTTTGTTTTCCTTGTCAGATTCAATTGTTCTATTCATTTTTGATCATGTGGATCGGAACATCAGGACCAAGTTTACATACTAGACTTGTCAAAGAAATCAGGACCGCAGTTAAATTAAGAAACATGAGGGGTAACTATTTCAGCTCTCGAAAAATTGCCTCTTGTTAAGTCTGTGGTGTGTATGAGACCTTAAGAATGGACCCTCCAGTCCCATTCCAAACTGTTCAAGGCTAGGAAAAATATAATTGTTTCTAATCACGAAGCATCGTTCTTGATCAAGAAAGATGAAGTGATTTTTGTATATCAAACATTGGACTCCAATGTTTTCAAGAACGCAGAGGAGTTTAATCCAGATAAGTTTATGGTGTATGAGTACTGGTCAAATGGTAAGAAGACTAATAATTCAACTGTGAACGATAAACAATGTCCTAATAAAAAATTGATAGTGTTATTGGGAAGGCTATTGGTGGTGAAGTTTTTTCTGCATTACAATACTTTTGAATTGAATTTGGAAAACTCTTGCTTGGCTCAAAGGTGACTTTTAAGGCGTTAACCAAAGCAACATCATGAAGTGAAATGAATATAAGGGATTGAGTATGTATAATTTGTAATAAGGAAGAACTATCTCATAAAATTATTATAACAATCTAGCTATATAGGGGTAGTTCAAAATCCAAGTTTTCATTAAAAAGTGTAATTTTCTTAATTTTAAATTTATATTTTAATCAACGCGATGCGTGGACATTGTTAAAGCAATTAATTATGATAAAATATTATCTTATAATACAGTAAAATCTCTATAAATTAATATAGGTGGGACCATGAAATTTTATTATTTTATAGAGATATTATTTAATCGATAAATTAATATTTATTAATTTAAAGAATGGTTTGAGATTTAATGAAGGTTAATTTTGAATATATCAAAATCATTGTAACTTACTAATTTATGTATCATATTTATTGATTTCACATTAAAAAAAAATTATACATAAAGTACAATGAATACATCAAAATCATTGTATCTTAATAATTTCAACCTTGTGGATAATAAGAGCTTTCAAGATGTATTATTGAACAAATTTTTATCATAGGATATTAGAAGACTATGAAGTGGGACAAACTGATCCAGCAAAGATTAATGTTTTGGATGCTATCAATTTCACAATCCCTATTTGGACAATAAATGTTCAGCAAGAGACAATAGCAAATTGTTTTTGAAACTGTAAAATTCGTTCGGGGATGCAATCTCAGAGAGTTTGAATGAACCTACTTGTGAAAACGTCATTCATGACTTTGAGGTCATTGATTAATGATCTCGGTTACCACAATAAAATGGATGTCAATAACTTGTTGGATAATCCAGGTGAACGTGATACATGTTCAGAGGTCCAAAGCTTAGAAGAAATTGTGGATACCATCGGAAAAGGCAAGGTTGATGATGAAGTTGAAAATGATACTATACCTTTGGAACCAGTTACGCGTAAGGAAACACTTATCGCATCTAGAACTCTTCACAATTTTATGGTGCAGTTCGAAAAGACAACACCGGAGCTCTTGGATGCAATAAGAAAAGTTAGAGATGAGCTTCAACTAGATTTAAATTATAAGAAAAAACATAACACAATAAAATCATATTTCACTAAATTGTCTTAGATATATTTGTACTTTTAAAGAATTATTAATTTATGATATTAATGGGACCATATATTTATATAATGGTCTTTTGGAAATATATTATCTTATTATCTTATTGAAATTGATGATTTTTTTCATTGGCCCAAGTCGGGACAGAAGGAAAATATTTTTTTATAGAGATTATTGTAGACATTGAAATTTTTGAGTTTCATCGAGTCTACACTTCGACAAACCTTGAAGTAGGGGCATTTGTAGACATTGGAATTTAGCGGACTCTACTAGACGTGTTCAGTTCGAATTGGGACTGTAGAAGATGTGTTCAGTTTCAATTAGAATTCTTGGAGGCTACTCAACCCTAAACCCTAGTTTATGCCTATATAAAAGGTACTAAATTCCCGTAAAAGGCATCTCATAATATCTCATAAACTCTTGGGTATTTTTAAAGATCAAGATCTCGAATATTCCACAAAAGTCATGGAATATTCATATAGAGGTCAACTCTAAATCCCCTAGTTCGAGAAATACGCCACTAACGGCCCTCGACTCATGGATAAATCTTAGGAGAGTAGAATCAAGGGAGGAACAAAATTGTATCCGCAATCTTGATAAATAAAACTATGTTTCTTCATATTTTATTTGTGATTGCAATTTATTTCTATCACTTTAAATTTGTTGCAAATAATTATTAATTTATCGAGTATTAATTTATAGAGGTTTTACTGTATATGTGTTTGACCCTATTGAATGATTATTGTTAGTACATTAAAAAATGATAGATTGCGCTAACTAGCTAGTCTGTAATTTGTAATCTGTAATTTGTAACTTGATTGACTTCTCTACCATAGTGAATGGTGTTAAGTGTTAACCTTGGATTGGTACAATATACAAGATCTAATAGTATATTGAATAATTAAACTTTACATGAAATAATACGTAAATTTCATGTTAATTAACTAATTATTGCATTAAAATACTGAGCAACCAAACGACCCCTTAATATTTTCAATGTTCATACAAAATTCCAAATAAAAATATGTCTGATGAAATCCCTATTTCTTCCCATTAGAATAAACAGTTTATGATTAGGGCCGCCGTCATCCGCCACCAACTCCGCCCCGTCGCTACCAGATTCAACGGCCCTCCGACACCAATACCATCATGGTTACGGCGGCTGATTCACTAACCAATAACTCAGTCCCGATACACAAATTCTCAGTTAACGAGGACGAACAGTACGAAAAAGTTGAGGTTGAAGAAGAAAATAGCGAAGGATCAGCTCCACTCGATGATGGAAATCATAAAAAAGGTTCGTTTCTTTCGAGATAAATTTATGTTGTTACTCATTATTGTTGCTACATCTTTTGCGTATTCACTATCTTGCTATGAGTATTGGACTATTGTCTACATTTTCATTGTTTCGCTGCATTCGTCAAATATGTCAGTGTGTTAATACTTAATAGTGTACAATTTAATGATAAAAACTGTTGATTCCGATTTAGTAGTTAGACCCCTGTTGCTTTTGGATAATTGTAGGAGTATTAATTAATCCCTGCTTTTTATGAAGCCTGGTTAATGGTATGGATTATGCAATGTTATGGGACAATTAGTACATTCAGTACCTATTGTAATCATGTTTTTGTTTCTGATTAATAGAAGGACAGCTTCCTTTTTGTTGAATGGAATCAATGGAATTTGTTGGTGACTGGACATGATCTTTCCTAGCTACCAGTGAAGGGGAGAGGAGAACATTAACGTAACCATCAAACTATAGAACCTCACCTAAAAAAAAGGCCCTCGGAAGAGCCTGAAGTAGAGAAACCTACAAATAAAACCTATTACTCTTTTTATGATTGAGATGGAATGCTTGCTGCCTGTGAAATGGGATGATTGGGAAGATGGGACCCGAACTCGAAACGAGTGAAAGTTGTAGCATGTCGCAGGATGATTGTTCTTGCAAACTGCATGTGTAGGTGTTGGTGTCCTGCTTTTGCATCTGTTGTGTATGCATATTGCATCCTTGCGGAGTAACCACTCAAAAACAGAAAAAAATGAGTGAATCCCCACCTATTTGGGTTTGACTTCCATGCTCAAGTTGGTAATGTCCTAAAAAAGATATGACAAAGCAATGGAAGAATAATGAAACATAAGAAACTTATATAAATGGAGCTAAGAAGCTTAAAAATAACATGCTTGTAGTGAGTGAACTTGTGTGAGTTACTCTTGCTGATTACTTTCTTTATGTATGTGTCTATTTATCAGAGTAGGTTTTCTTGTCAACGTATTCACTGTTCACCTTGCTATATAAGACTTTGTATACCCTAGAAATGGACGTGGCATAAGTGCAAGCAGCGTCATTTTCTCGATCAAGAAGGTATTGAACTTCTCGACTCACCTCGATCAATTCCTTCTTTGCCTCATCTTTCTTCTCTTATGAATTTTCTTTTGAAATCAATTTTTTCAATATTCAATATTTATATTGATAATTGTGATTTGTTACTTCTTGACGGTCCATCATGAATGTAGAGTGGTTGTTACCATCCACAGAATATTCTTGGTGGTCAAATACTCACATCTTCACTTTCTGAGGTTGATTACTATATGATCTGTTATGACTTTGGAGATGGTGGTTGTGCTAGTTGAAACTGGTGAGCATCAATGGACTTTAGAGCACTAGTGTGCAGTACTGCATGCGGCCATGCTTCACTTGTTTGGATCAGTGATGTCAAAGTGAAGCATAAACAAATTGAAGTGTCTGTAGGGCTTTAAGGAAGAAGAATAGTTAAAGCGCGAACTCTTGTGATGAATAAAAAAGTCAACATGTAATTTAGTGAAAAATAAATACCATTACAAATAAAAAATGTGGATCGTAGCTCATGTGAATGATGCCACTACTATTAGATATATGATGTCAATTGGGATTTGAGATGGAGAGTGAGGAGAAGAAGATGGGTCTGTAGCTCTCTTGGTTGTATACGTAGACCATTTTGAAAGAAAGAAGATTTTAAAAAGGTAGAGTATATTTCCTACAGATGAATGATTGTTTTAAAGTTTCTAGAGAACATCATCTACACCATAATGTCATAGTTAAGTGAAACGACTCCAAAAATGCCCGAAAATGTGCTTCGGAAACACCTATAATTGTAATTTTCATATACCTCAAAATCTGTGCATGATTTCGGAAATTCGACTTCATATTCTTATTCATGGGGTCAAATTGAGTGGGAAATGGGTCTAACCCGAATTTTAGGGCAACCGTATCAAAATTCGAAAATCGCAAAAAATGCGATATGGAGGGTCAACTTTAAAGGGACATATCTCTTAGCACACAAGGAACTGGAAGGGCCACAACCTATTAAATTAAAGATCTTTGAGTTAGCTTTCCAACGCACTTGGTTTCACCTCATTCCGAGTTAGGATGAGGGAGTTATGACCATTTTCGTGAAACCTGTCTGTGCAGATTTGCAATTTCCAGTGAGCTATTATTTTTTTTTTGAGGCTAAGTGTTGGGGACGTTTTTTATAAAAAGGGAATATGTCTCATACTTAGTCATTTTTAACTTCAAAAACACTCTCTAAGCCCTCTCCAAAAATTCCACCAAGATCCTCAACCAAATTCAAAGATCTCAAGCTCTAATTTCGGATTCAAGACTCAATCTCAAGCTTCAATTCTCCATTCCAATCTTCATCAAGGATTCTCCAAAGTTGAGGTATGTGGGTTTGATTGTGGAAATCTTCCTTTCCACAAGTCCAACCATTTATCCTCTATTACTACTTCAAGTTTATGGATCCTTATGGTTATTTATGAACTCTTGAAGTATGGAATTACTACTACACACCCTATTATGGTCTATTTTGCATATTATCATGAAATGGAATTATTATGTGATGCTTATGGTTTTCATGCTTCCACGATCAAATTATGAAGGTTGATATATATATATATATATATGTATGTTGTTGGTGGGCTGATTTATATGGATTTTGAAATTGGTTGGACTTAGTACTCTTGAAATACATGATTTTATTTACATGAACAGTAGCCCACCATGTGTTTGATAAAATGTCCATTTATAGAATTCTTAGGAAATGGAAGGTCCAATATACGTCCTATGAGTCGGATGGTTGTATAATTACTGAAATGATGATGAAATGGACACATGTATATGATTTTCTCTATATAAGTGTTGTGAGTCGACCAAGCCTAGCTCGGGGGGTTGTAGGCCCGGGTAACCGTATCGAGGGGTTGGTCCCTTGGTTGCCTAGTACGGGGGGTAGTAGGCCCGTATAACCATATCAAGGGGTTTGTACCTTGGTCCCTAGCTCGGGGGGTGGTAGGCCCAGGTAACCACATTGAGGGGTTTGTACTTTTTTCGCCTCTCCAAGGGGGTGGTAGGCGTTGAAAATACTATATTGATGGTCACTCGCCACACATGTACTACGCCCCACTAAATATGATTTTTATGTAAGCATCATTATACATATCATCTCATTAATATGCTATCTATCGGATATGATTATGCATTTTGCCTATGATGTCCATCTATTGTTGCATTGCATTGCATCCCATATACTTAGTACATTCAAACGTACTAATGCATACTCTATGCCTACATGATGTCACTATGTAGGGACCGGAGCACCGCTTGACCAACCAAGGTACCAACCCCTCGATACGGTTATACGGGCCTACTACCCCCCGTACTAGGCAACCAAGGTACCAACCCCTCGATACGGTTATACGGGCCTACTACCCCCGTACTAGGCAACCATATATGCACCAATAGGAGTAGACACCTTATATGACTCACGCAACAAGTCGGGCTCATCATGAAACTTTTTGGCAACAAAGGGGGTGACAAAAGAAAGAGAGGCACCCGGATCAATTAATGCATATACATCAAAGTCAAAAAATTTCAACATACCGGTAACGACGTCGGGGACTTCATCGACCCCTTGCCTCCCATGCAAAGCATAAAATCGATTGTGCCTTGGGGCACCATCTTGTCGGCCCCCTCTCCCCAAAGGAACCGCATTGGGACCTTGTGGACGGACCTCCTTACCCTTGTTGCGATTCCGAGGACAATCCATTGCCTTGTGCCCCATTTCCCCACAACTGTAGCAAGCACCGGTATTTCTCAAGCACGGGCCATCATGGCCCTTACCACACTTCGGACATACATCAATAGGATCCATACCACCAACACCTTGGGCCCTTGGAACGTCATTGGC